TCCAATTCGTCTGCCTCGTAACATTTAACATCCAATTCGTCTGCCTTTCGAAATTTGACACTAGGGCCGCGAATTGTTTCGATTCAAGGGATTTCAACAATTTTCTCCCATTTTCCCTTTTCCTTTAATCTTTTCACCTCTCTCGACCAAATTTCGGACAAAACTACCCATGGCAAACTGGAACATATCGATTGGATTCGATCGGAAGCTCTCCGTTCGCGTTGCTGGTCCGTCCATGTCTCGAGCTCAAGCGCGACTCGACGAGTGCCCGGTCCGTCCGCGCCCCTCCGCTGCCGGCGAGCCCCCTCCGCCCCTCTAATGCCCTCCCCCTCCCCTCCCCGACCACCCTCTACCTCTCGACCTCCCCTCCCCTACACTGCAGCAGCTAGGCGCAGCCACCTGACGGCTAGGGTTTTGGCTGGGCACCAGGAACAAGGCACGGCACCGGACTGCAGTGGCCGATGCCATGATTCCCTTTGAGGTCCCTCCAGGGTATGGCACAATCCTCGATTCTTCTTCAGTTTGATCTCTATTTCACAGTTCATAGATTTTGGGGGCACAAGCTTATTGCGTTTAGATTGTGTGTTCAGATTTCTCAGTTCACCGCAAAGCTCAATGAGGGCTGCTTTGTTGATGTGCCACAAAAATATGATGAGTGGACTGTGGATTGTCAATGCTATACATTAGACATGCTAGAAATGGATTTGGCAGCTAGGATAAACTGGGGTAGCGGCCAGTAGCTGGTAGTATCCAAATTTGACATGAGTCAAGATGGAGAAAGGAAATTGTTGAATGATACAGATCTCTCTCTTGCTTTCACTGAAAGAATGAATGAAAGGAAGATGTTTTTGTTTGTTGCTGTTGTGGACAAACCCGCAAAGATTATTTCTTACTCAATTGTTTCAGAGGCCGCCATCAGCAATGTGGCCCATGATGATGCTATACCTCAAACAGATTTCAGCAATGATGTAGTGGTTTCTCATGAAATCGATTGGGACAGTCTGGAGATAATTCCTCTAACTGCAGACCAGATTAGTGCGCCTGTTCCTGTGATAGATGAGGATACAGTGTATGAGTTTCTTGGTCTTAGAGAAGAAGATGAGAGAGCTAAGCAAGCTAGGGCAGCGACTGTTGCAAAGGAAAACCCGTCTGTGCCTATTGATTTGGACCCTGCTGATGAGTTGCTGGTTGACGATCATGTGCCTGGTGAGGACTCGGTGCTTTATGACAGAGAAGACCCTCCTATGAAAGTGGGAACTATTTATGCTAGTATGCCTGAATTCAGGGCTGCAGTGAGGCATCATGCTATTATGAAATAGTTTGAACTTGGAACAGAGAAATCTTGTAAATCTTTGTTCAGAGGCTATTGCAAAGTTGATGGTTGTTCATGGACTATTATAGCAAGGCTGATGCGTGATAACCAGCAAGTCAGGGTACTAACCTTGTTCTAACTTTTGTTCAGATGCAACATGCTTACTCAATGTATTGTTTAGTAATATTCCACATGTATGCTTATATGCCTGTTTCATTTTTACATGTTACATTGAACAAAGAAGAGCATTTTTGTCCATCTACCAGCAAAGTAAGGACCAAGATGGCATCGTACCATTGGGTAGCAGAGAAGGCAAGCCCTTTTCTAAAGAAGGATCCTAACATGGGTTCAAAGGAACTGCAAGAGGAGTTAGAGGACAAATATCAAGTGAAAATTGGGTACTCAACTGTGCATCTTGGTAGAGATGTGGTAAGAGAACAAATTTTGGTATATGAGATGAAAGTTTTGGATATCTGTTCAACTTCAAGGCAGAGATTGAGCTCAGAATGCTAGAAAGTGTTGTAGAGATAGATGTAATCAATCAGGAAACTGGTGTATATTTCCACATATTTTTTTTGTTGCTGGAAACCTAGCATTGATGGTTTCCTAAATGGTTGTAGGCCATTTTTTAGTATAGACTCCATAGCTCTCAATGGTAGATGGGGTGGCCACCTACCTTCAGCTACAGCACTAGATGGACATAACTGGATGTATCCAGTTGCATTTGGATTTTTTTATGGTGAGACTACTGATAACTGGACTTGGTTTATGCAGCAGCTACAGAAGGCAATTGGGAATCCATCTCACCTAGCTATAATTTCAAATGCTTGCAAGGGCCTAGAAAATGCAATAAAGACAGTGTACCCTTGGGCTGAGCATAGAGAATGTTTTGTCCATCTGATGAATAATTTTAGCAAGCGTTTTCAACGGCCTGCTTTTGGGAGAATGTATCCTGCAGCTAGAACTTTCCAACCAGATTACCATGAGTATCTCATGAACAAGATGTATGCAACAAATAAAAATGTCAAGCCATGGTTGAAAACCAATCACAAGTTAAAGTGGATGAGGAGCAAATTCTCTGAACACATAAAGTGTGATCATATCACCAGCAATGTGGTTGAGGTTTGGAACAACTGGGTGAAGGATATTAAGGACCTTCCTATAGCTGACCTTGCTGACACCTTAGGTCCAAGTTTATGGAACTGTATGCAAGGAGGAGGAGAATAGGTGAGAAATTTGAAGGCCATATAATGCTTCCAATTGTTGTTCGCCAACTACATGCACTGAGTAGGTAGTTGGGCCACTTGAAGATCAAAGATGGTGGAAGGGATGAAGCAGAGGTGACAAAGGTTACTCATTCACAGAAGATCATAAGACATGTGGTCAATATTAAAAACCACATATGCACCTGCAGGGAGTGGCAAGTCTCAGGAAAACCATGCCCACATGCTTTGGCACTCATCACCACATGTAGAAATCCTAAGATGGAAGAGTACTTGCATCCTTACTTTTCAGTTTACCATTTTAGGCTAGCCTATGGGGGTGTGATTAGACCACTACCTGCGTGTGAATCTTGGATTCAAAGTGTTACCACCTCTCGAAAAGAGGCCGCTTGGTAGACAAAGAAAACTCAGACGTCCTAGCTGCATTGAGGGCAAGGGCACCAAATCCAGGGGCAAAGGCATGTGGCAAGTGAAATGTAAAAATTGCTTGGGTCTTGGTCATAGGTCGACATCTCCAAAGTGCCCGCTAAATGGAATAGCGAAGAGAAGGTAAAATTGTCACCTGTCATGCTTGATTCATATTTCATTTTATTAACAACTTTTCAATTTCAGGAAAAGCCGAGCCAACAAAGGGAAGGCTGGCAGGCCTCCAGGCTCTACCAAAAGGCAGAAGGTTGCTGAGCAAGGAAGTTCAGGGAACAATAGTCCTGTGACGGCAAGGTCAAAAAAATAACATCATCTATGTGTTTTAAATCAAAATGAGAGTCTCTATAACAACATTAACCATTTCCTCTATTTTTCAGTTAATTCCCATCAACCATAGGAGAACTAGAAGGCACAAGTCAAATCAACACTTCTCCTGGTCCTGTGACAAGAAGGTACCTCTATGAACTGTATAAAGACTTGATCTGTACACTTTCAGTTTTCATGAAAAACCAATCAGCAAGACCTTTCCTTTTATTTTTAGCCAATCAACTTTAACAATGATGGAGCTAGGAGGGACAAATCAAATCACTACAAGTGCTGGACCTATAACGGCAAGGTAAAAGTACTAATAAATTGAGCATGTATATATACTCACCTTTGTTCATGTACCGAAGCATCCTCTCCTATTTTCCAATGTATTCAGCCAAACTGGAGAAGAGGCACTGAATATTGTTACCACTCCCACTAAGTCTCTAGCAAAGCGTCGGTTAGGACTGAAGAAAAAGCTCACTCCAAGAGGACAAACAGTGCTGCTTTATATGGCCTCTTTTGTGTTCTTAAGTACCCAGAAAAAACTTCTATTCACCTAGATGTTTCTTTTGGATTTGAAAATATGTACTCTTAAATTCGATCAGACACCATGTACTCAGTTAATTTCGATGGAAAACTAGTAGACCTGTATGTTTCTATCGATACTGTTAGCATGGTCAGATTTGCTTATAATGGTAGATGGAAGTGCGTTGGGCTGCTGTGTGCTGCCGTGTCCTTTTTTTAAAATGCTGCAGTTTTCATGTCTTTTTTTTGCCTCTCATCTGGGTACAGCTGTAGCATCTATTCGTACACACGCACGCCTACACAACACACGCACACAACTCACATGACCCATGTATAAACAAACATATAACTACACCCAGATCAGAAGACCGCGTCCTTCTTAAGATCAATGAAATCCTGCAGTTTTCATGTCCTATGCGGCTGAGGTGCCTGATGCACAGGAGCCAAGCGTCTGGTGTTGCACACGTATGTTCTAATGAGCCAGGGGTAGTTTGGTCCTGTCAGGTGGGTGGGGAGAGGTGAAAAGATTAAAGGAAAAAGAAAAGGTGAGAAAATGGCTGAAATCCCTTGAATCGCAACAATTTGCAGCCTCAGTGTCAAATTTCAAAAGGCAAATGAATTGATGTCTAAATGTTGCGAGGCAGACGAATTGGATGTCAAATATTAAAATTTCTCGTTTATTCCATGCAAATTCATTTTAACATAGAGCTCTTATAACATATACTCCGCCTTCTTTTCTATATGAACTTCAATGCAAAGTTTAAAGCATTTTTTTCTCTTTTTACGGAGTAGCAATTTGTATATATGTAAATAAATTGTGTAAGTTTTTTTAGGGGAATAAAATGTGACGGACTTTAATCCTGCCCCTTGCGTAGGTCGTATACCGGCCCGGCCCGGCCCAAAACACGCTTTCTTCCTTCTCCAAACGACGGAAGAAACTTCCTGTTTGGCACGAACGGAGCACGAGTATCCATCCAACCGCTCCTCCCTCGTCCGGCAGGCGACGACTCGATTCCTCCTCCTCCTCCTCCTCCTCCTCCTCCTCGTCTCTTTCACCGGCGACTCCGGTCTCCTCCTCCTCCGCCGCCGCCGCCAAGAGATCGATCCGACCCCGAGCGCCCGATCCCCCAATCCACCCACCAACCGCCGGCGCGCGCGGAAGATTCAGATTTGGCCCCTCACCGGTAATAAGGGGGAAATCGAGGATGGGCGCGTGGATGTCGCGCGTGTGGTTCCTCATGTTCCCGGCGCGGGAGTACAAGCTTGTCGTCGTGGGGCTCGACAACGCGGGGAAGACCACCACACTCTACAAGCTCCACCTCGGCGAGGCCGTCACCGCCGCGCCCACCATCGGCAGCAACGTCGAGGAGGTCGTCTTCAAGAACCTCCGCTTTGAGGTCAGCTCCCCCCGCCCGGTCCCCTCTCTCTCTCTCTTTCCTCCCACCCGGGGCCATAGAGCGCGAATTCTAGGCTGAATTCGCTGCGCGGCTAGCCTGCGCTGCGGTCACCGCCGGATCGACCGCTGCGGCGGAGGCTGGTTTCTCAGTTAGGCCTAAGATCTATGCTGTACAGGTAGGGCCTTAGAGGGGAAAGGTGGAATTTTGTGTTGCTTTCGCTGCCCTTGTTGCGTTGTTCATAGGAGTATTGAGAATTTGAGATGTCCTGCTACCTACTAGCTGTGTACAGGGCCATTGTAGGTATCTGAGGTTGTGCTTGAGAGTTCACGACAAATTGTAACCCCATCGTGTAGGATGAATGTATTAGCTGAGATGTGGTTAGCTTGTGAATCGATAAGATGCTGGTGGTGTCTACTGCATGAATCCATCAACACTGGCGGTACAAGTCCACAAACCTTTGCCTGGTGCCCTTTAGTCTGTTTTTACTTGTTATTAGAAGCGGAGTATTACACAGTTTAGGATTCAGTGGTTATGTGTATGATCTGCCCTTGGAAGTTGTTTTGCTCAACCTTTTAATCTAGCTGTGATGGCCACCTGACTATTGACAATGGACACCGATGTTTTCTCTGTTTCATCACGGGGATTATTCCAACCTGGTTTTGTAATTCCTGTTCTGGATCAAACAAGCAGCTAGTATTTTTACTTTTGTTTGTCAAACACATTAGTCAATTCAGTGATGAAATAAATAAATCTTGCCATTGCATATTTGTTTGGGTAACACATTACTGAGTTCAACCTCCAGTTTTTATCCATTGGATTTGATCATTGTTGATGTGGTGGTGTACTCCTTTACGCTAGTTTAAATATTGAGTTGTTCATCATCATATAGTTGGCTATATTAATCAGTTGAACTGTATCAAATTCTCAAGGTAAAGATTTAGAAGATTTGAGTCATTAGGTTACTATCCATCTCCAAACGTTTAATTTTCATTGGCTGAAATGAGTATTAAAACATTAAAACTCTTTGTTGGCCCGTGCAAACACTGCTAAGAATATTACCTGTCTGCAATCATACCTTTGATTGGAGAATATATTCTTTGGGCGGCTGCACTGCAAAATGAAAAATAAAAAACACTGATGCTCAGACATTAGGCAACTTGTACCATCAAAGCACCACTTTATGGAATAAGTGTTTGCAATTTATAGCGCTACATTTGTTTTCTTCATGCTTTCTTGAAGGAAACAAAAACATCTGTTTAGGGAGTTGCTAATAGAAAAATGACAAATAATCTGTAAATTTTAGTATGCTGAAGACAGGACATGGTACAATGCTCACTTGTCTCCTGGAAAGAAGTATTTTGCTGCAAGTGGTGTGAACTTTTATGACAATATTTAACATGTTACTTCTGTGGGTGTCAAGGTTGCCACTTTAGCTCTTTTTACTGCAGGATCAAGGAGATCTTTCTTCTTGTTGCTTATCAACAATAGTGGCGTGTTACTTGTATATACTAAAATTATGTAACAAATCCGGTAACGGCACATACATGTCTCACTTGAGAACGAGCTCATTTTGTGTATGTTTTGTATTCTGACCACATGCAGTGCATTTTCCAGAGCCGAACCTATATCATAAGAGTTGAGCAGCCATACATACAGCTTGTTGCTAACATACTGCTTGAATGAACCAGGTCTGGGATCTAGGAGGGCAAGAAAGCCTGCGCACGTCATGGGCGACATACTACCGAGGGACGCACGCCATCATCGTGGTGATCGACAGCACGGACCGCGCGCGGATCAACATCATCAAGGACGAGCTGTTCCGCTTGCTCCAGCACGCGGACCTGGAGGGCGCGGTGGTCCTGGTGTTTGCCAACAAGCAGGACCTCAAGGACGCCATGCCCCCCGCGGAGATCACCGACGCGCTCTCCCTCCACAGCATAAAGAACCACGACTGGCACATCCAGGCCTCGTGCGCCATCACTGGCGAGGGCCTCTACGATGGCCTTGGCTGGATCGCGCAGAAGGTCGCCGGCAAGGCGACCGCGAGCTGATGTGCAGGAAAGCATTGGCTGTGGTTCATGAATGGATGGATTTGTTGAAGGATAGGGGTGGCAGGGTGGGTTTGTTTCTTCCTGCCACCATGCCCCAATGCTTATTTATGTTTTTTTTAAGAAAAACGCCTTAAACTTTGTGTCTGTATTCCAATCAATCTGAATATATGAAAATTAAAAAAAGGGAGCAAATTTGCACGCCATCATCAGATATGAGATTTTTTCTGACCCAGTGACCCTTGTGCAAACGCCTCCAGTCACTGAGCTTCATGAGTGGAATCAAGCTTGCAGTGCGGTGATAAACAAAGAGATAAAGCCTTGCATTAAGGTGAGTTGCCGCTGACCTGGGAAGAAGATACTCCTGTGCTGTGCCCAATTTGCTCCTGGAGACAGGCTGTCAAATGTTAACTCCTGCCTCCCTCGTCGGCTTCATCTGTTGATGCGTCAGGTCGCTTCCAAGTGGGCTATCTCCTTGGTGGGCAGAAATGTCGTCAGCGAGCACACAACAGAAGCAGCAGGGACCGTCGAATGATTGGTCTGGCTGCTGCGACCGTACACTACAGTGATGTCACACTTCATATTGAGCATGAGGTTTGTGTGATTGTGTCTGAAGCAACAGCTGAGTTAAGGGAAGGGCTGGCTGTTGCATCAGTGTACGAATGAGGGGCAAAGGACCTTCAGTACCGCGTCGAATTCACACCCAACCAATGAACCGAAGGTGCCTGCCTCAAGGTTCTGCGTGCAGCCGTGGCGGCCGACGAAGCTGAACGACGAAGATCGCGTCAGCGTATGGGCAATACTGCGCATATGATTGCACATGCTGAAGTGAGGTGCATCACAGCTATTGATGCTACAGTCTGTGATAAGATGCCACCGTTTTCCAACAAAGGACACCCTTTCTGTCTCTTTTTTTTTTTTGCAATTATTCTTTCAGGCAAGAAACCAAGATTTGCTAACACTATACATGTTTTTGGTATTTGATTTTAACAGTTTCTAGTTTTAGAACATAAAGGATCTAATTCTAGCATAGTGCTATGTCAAAGTGGCTTAGACTTGACCTAAGTTTATATAAAAATATATTAATATTTAGCATATTAATAAATGTCATTGGATTTATCATGAAATATATTTTCATGGTATATCTTTTTGGAGTCATAAATATTGATATTATTTTCTATAAATTTTGTCGATTACTTCATCCGTCCCAAATTATAAGTCATTCAACTTTCTTAGAGAGTCAAAGCATCTAAAGTTTGACTAAAATTATAGAGAGAATTATAAAGATGTATGACATCAAATATGTGTACTACAAAAATATAATCAATAAAGAGTCTAATGAAAGTTATTTAGTATCATAAATATTACTATTTTATTATATAAATTTGGTCAAAGCTGAGAGATGCTTTGACTCTTAAGAAAGTTGGAATGACTTATAATTTGGGATGGATGGAGTATAAACTAATTTGACTTAGATCAAATCTAGAATTGTATCCTTTCTAGGATGGAGCGAGGTACTAGTTGTCATGAAAAACACATTTATGGTCCCATGTATTTGTTAGATATTGTAACTATATTCGAATTAAAAAAAAGTGCTCAAATTGCAACCATGACAAGTCATATGCGCACGATAAAGGTTTATATATTTTGAGTTTCATACATGATCTAAGTTGGTTCAAAAGTCTACTGTTCGCTTGATCGTTTATGTGGCTTATAAGTCGGTGATGCTGTTTTATTATAAGAGAAAACTACTATATCATAGTGATAAGCATGGCTTATACGATCAAGCGAACATAGTATTACGACTATACATATAGCTGTTAAAAAAAACTGGCTGCGTCATCGATGTGCACAACTTCGACTTCAGATCACTGCAATACCACCTTGTTTATACTACTAGTAAGAACCACTGCAGGCATGTCCCACTATACATATATAGTTCCAGTTGTATGTATATATTATATATATAGGAATCGGTAGTTTCAAAATTAGTTGGTGTGTTATTCCAAATGCATGGCAGGGTGGTGTCCCCAAATATTCCCCGAGCAGACGTCTTGTCCGATCCATTCTCGCCATCGGTCCCTTGTGATAAACGTATGACCGAGTACCAAGCTAGCTAGGTCCCCGAACCAACCATTTTGGTGGCATCATGAAGCCATACAAGGGTTCAAACCGTGATGCCGACATTATTAGCCACATCCGAATGCAATTTCGTTTCGAAGGACGTGTGTCCATGGTTTGTAACATGCTGTCGATACTACATAGGAGTATATGTATGATTGTGTTTGTTACTTCTATATGTACGGCCGATCGAGTCACATCCGAATGCAACTCTGCTTTTTGTCCCCAACATGCATGGAGCCATTGTAGGCTAAGATTACCGAGTCAATCTTGTTTTGGTGCTTGGACGGTTATCTTACTAAGTATTCATCCTGTTGCGCAAACAATTTTGCAGGTAACAAAGACCTAAGAGTAACGAGTGAGGTGATGATGGATCGACTCTATTCTATTGCACAAACCAAACGAAAATAAGTGAAAGAGTGAGAGAGCGATGGACTAATAACTCCTTTATCAAACCAAACACCCTAATATATTAACCTCCCTATACACTCCCTGGGAATGTTAGGGAAATGCAGACTCGTGTACAGTGTGCCTAAATGGTGGTGGCTTATGTGCATGTGCATGGTGTATGGCCGATGCACCTTGCAGCTGCAGCTAACCTCCCTGATTCCGAGCCCACCACACGGAAGATGCCGCCTCCCTGCTATTTGGGCTCTTCCTCCCCGGCCTCTCTTTGCAAATTGCACCTTGCTCTCTTTGCGTTTAATACATCAAGTCAAACCACAACGCCGTAGACGTAGTAGAGAGCTAGCTATATTACCGAGCACCCTCTCTCTATCGCTCCTTCCCTCTGTGTCTCTCCCCTCCTCTCTCACTCACTCGACGCACGCACGGAGTTAGCTAACGGGAGACATGGAGGTCGCCACTTGCATGCTCCTTGCTCACGCTCATGGCGTTGGCGTCCTACCGCCGCCACCAGCAGCAGCACGCTCTGCGACGAAACACAGCTACACCTACACGAGGAGGAAGCGCCTCGCCACGGTGCGAGGCGTCATGGCGAGGCCTCAGGAGGTGGTGGTGGCGCCGGCGCCACCGGCAGCGAGGCCAGCAGCGCCACCACCACCCGCGAGGGAGAGAACAGCGCCGGCACCGCCGCCGCCTGCCGCCACCACCACCACCACATACCGCGACAACTGGTTCGACAAGCTGGCCATCGGGTACCTCTCCCGGAACCTTCAAGAAGCTTCTGGTACGTACTTTGCGCGCCTGCACATACATTCATTCGTTCTCGCCACCTTTGGAATGATCGAAAGTTTCTTCCTTCCATGACTGCGATTGCTTCGCTCTCCGGGCGGACACGAACCAAGCCGACAAAGTTTCGGGCGAACAATACCATGCTTTATTCCAAGAGAGAGCTGCTCGCACGTAGTATCTCGCGCACTGTTCCCCCTGCAAAAATACATACATAGACATGTTTTCTTGTTAAACTGTCGTCGTGTCTTTTTCTCTCTCTCGGGCTTGGATTCATCTTTGTCGTCGTGTCATCTCATGCGCTGCTAGTAGTACTAGTAGTTTTGGCTTCCTTGTGCGCATAGAAGTAGTAGTACCATGTCATCAATGGTGCCGATCGATGTTGATAACCATGTAAGCGACTGCACGCGATGTGACGTTAAGTTTTTTCTGTCCAAAACAAGCATAGATATATCCTCCTCGACTTATAGGGTCTAACTACTAGTGTTGATGGCTACCTTTTCAGACTCTTATAAACTTCTGTACCGACTTGTATGTTTGTTTGTTTGTTTTTTGCTATTATTAAGCCAAAAGATAGGAAAAGCTGATTGCGTTGTGAGCGTATAAGTTATACTGTGTAATCATAAAAAAAAACGGAAAGCTTCTTATATATATAGGAGTATACTTCATTAAATGGGCGTGTTCATTTGGTTGGTCTTTGGTCTTTGGTTTGGGTTTGTTGGTCTTTGGTTTTTTGTGAGAGGAAACACTTCATTGGTTATTTACATTTGGTTTAAAATTGAAACTGAAACCAATGTTTAACAGGCCGAATATATAGAAGGTACAATTATATATTGCAACAAAATTAAATGGAAGTGTGCATCAGCATATCGGCAAAAGAGGTCCAAAGCCGCGATTCGCACAGGTGTGAGGTGCGCATGTCTAGGAATCTAGTAGTGCCTGTGAATCCATCCTTAATCTTTGGGTGTTCGCCAACTTCTTTCTCTTCTTTTGTGCGCTAGTAATTAAGATATCGAGGCAGGGAATATAATGGTGGTCAACGACTTCCTTCCGTAGAAATTAATTAACCACAATTACCCAATATATAAGCAAGAGCACCAGAGTTCGTTAACAGTACGGTTGTTTAATTAGTTATATAGAGATACATGTGAAAAGATCGTGATGTTCTGTTTATTAGATTTGTGTTTGGTTGTCCGTATGGGCTCGGGCGTTTCATCAGAACCATGTATGATGATGTGTGAACCGCATAGATAAAGGACCTGTTTGGATCATTAATTAATACTAAAAATTAGTAGCTAAAACGAGTACTAGCGGATCCAAATAGACATGCGGGAGTCATACAGCCTGTTCGTTTGGCTGTGGCTTGTCGTAAACGATCGTAAATTTCCAGCCAGAACAATATTTTTCTCTCACATAAACCAGCCAGCAGTACTTCATCACGAACCAGCAACGATACGAACCAGCCAACCGAACAGGCTGATAGTGGATCAAACAGACTTAAACCCGCTAATTATTAGCCAGTGGGTTGTTAACTATTAGTTCCATTACTTGGTTTAGAGTTGCTAATAAGTGCTAATAGTTTATATACACTCTCAGCTCACGGTACAAAACCACCTATTAGATAGCTAATAACTAATTTTTAGTACTAATGGATCCTTTACGCTTACAAGCCTCGTACCTACCTGTTTAAC